TATTATAAGTATTCAAAGCTTATCAAGAAATTATGTTTATTACATTTTACATTTTAATGTGCTTATTACATTTTATGATAATACAGTTGACTCATCCATGTCATCCTTTTGTTTATATTAGTTATGTTTTGATAAAAATGAATTGGAAGTTATCTTTCTGTTTTATTGTTAAGATTACTTTCTGATAATTCGATTCATCCCTTAATATGTATATTTTGGTAAAGAAAAAAACTTCACTGGATTTCGTTTATGATATATATTTAGAGATTTCTTGTCCCAATGCACGTTTGTTCCTAGTTTTACAATTGACAGATTGATTGACTGACTATGGTAATCACAGATAATCTGTCATTCACATTTCTTTCATGATTGTATTTGGTACTATACAATAAGCGGAACTACATTCAGATAAAAATCTGAACCACTGGACTTAAGACTGATGCTACAAAGCTTTTAATTAAACGATCGCCTTGTAGTCCTACATAACATGAGGCGACTGTATTTGTTGTTTGTTTTTTTGAAAATTTTAACGGAATATTGCATCCAGGTTTCACAGACACTGTAAAAGTAATTGCCGAATGAACTTGAAATCAGGACGTTGGGTCAGGAAGCCAAAGTTCTCAGACACACTGAATCTCCTACGCGAGTTTTTTTCGTGAAGCAGATGGAAGGATCGACAGTGTACACATTGATATTGCCAGATCGTTACCGATTTCAGATGGGTATATGCAAAGTCTGACCTGCATCCGTATATTCACTAAATGTACAGTGGTAATCCAAGCCAAATATACCTTAGTGAGAACATTTGCAAGAAAATTTATCAAATACTGAATATCTAACTTGAGAGCAATACCAATAAAAATACGACCATTTGCTGTGCACAATTTGAAAACAGGTTATTGCAGAAACTTATAGATACTTCCTGCATTAAAATGAATGAGAAATTACCATGATAGATAAAATTCGCTGTTTACTTAAAGCTCCTCTGACAGCTGCTGGTAGCGATTATAATTGGAATGAAAGCTACCTTTAGTACGTCTACGTGAATATACAACATTTAAGCATGTCATGTATTGATGGGAAAAATTAATGTACACCTAAAGATTACTTACTTACGCCTGCTACGCCCAATAGATCATAGGCCGCCTACCAGCATTCTCCAACCCACTCTGTCCTGGACACACTTGAAGATTGTTCAGAATTAAAATGTGAGTTTAAAGAAAATTGTTTTCAAGATCTTCGGAACCGGACAAAATTAGAAAATCAATGTTTGCACTGCGTTTCGAAAGTGATTAATATACCTACAAGATCTAACAACAAATAGTTTATTATCTTTAACTTAATGCTATGCAGTGTATATGAATATATCAAGTGAAATGCAATGGGAGCGAAATTGAATTACAGGAATTTAGCACACTTCAGTTATATTTCTGGCCAACAAACTCTTCCATCAGATCCGATTATGTTTCCAATACTGCTGCACTTTTTACTGGGACCCTTTTTGTTGCAGTCTGGTCGCTTTGCTTTCGTGTTGTTACTGGTGTCGGAGCTTTTTAGCTAGTGTTTGTTCATGACTTTCTAAAAATGTTAGTTTTAATCGACCTATGGTCACGATCTCGTATTTCACCTTTATCTATAAAGTGACTATTTACCCGTCCATTCTCAAAACATCAAAAGGGATTTTCATCTTAGAAGTTGAATCCACTTTACGATGACTCTTTACGAGATATAATAAAATATTGCTCTTTTTTCCGAACTGTTTCATTGTTTATTAGCTCTAATAAATTCCTTGTCAACTCTTTCCTTTTATAATTAAACTATATCCTATACATTTACAATCAAATATCTAAAATCTTTATGTGCTCTATACCTTTGATGTTGTTTTGTATCCCATTATCTGGCACCGTTTTGATCGTACGAAGATGCTATATACATAAATCTTCCGTTTAACTCCGCATATTACCTAGGCTAACCCTATTTGTTTGACGTTGGTTGTAAGAAGCCAAATACAGGTTGTGTTGGAGGAATTTTAAGCATTCGTTTATCCAGACAGACATTCAGAATAAGGAGCGGGAAAGCGAAGCGGAGCCAGGAATGTCGTTGGAAAAATCGAAAGCGAGTTACCTTCAGTAGGCCACAAAAACGTTACTTGTGCGGAGTCTCAGATGTTGTGATTGTATTACTACTATTGGGACGATCCCACCAGGATAAGGCGCTCGTCATAAAACCAAAATGGTCTTGGATTAATATAGTTCATTGGGTTTTAGATGCACGTTGTTGAAAATTTTCCAAGTCATGCTTGGAAGTTTTCTATTGCATCTCAGCTGAAATCAATCTATGACGAATACCAATTACTACGAACAAACAATTGTTTGTAGCTGTGTACTTGTTTTCTTTTTAATGTTTGTTCATATTCTTCTTATATATTAATGACTCACATAAAGTAAATCTATTGTGATTTTGATTGTACTAAAAATATTCTGCAATGTTTCGCTCGTACTATTTAAAGTTGTGTTAATTCTATTTCAGTTTTTTATTTACTCTGAAGAAGTGGCTTACATTAAGTTGAAAACGTTTGCCATTTGATTTCAACTTTACGTATTAAAAATACCCTCTTCATGTTAGTGACAGGATGTAGTTTAAATCTCATTTGAATTTTTGACTCGGCATTTCTAAGTGGTTTGAAATAATCGTGAGACTAGTTTTCAATTGCACGAATTGACCCCAGTTAGTCAATAAAGAACACCATAAGTGTATCGTTCAACTTATCGATAATACCAACTACAATTCAATAAATGCACTCACCGACTGACTTAAAATTAATGTATTGGTCTTTTGATTTAAAAAAGATATCTAAATAATGTGTTTGTAGGAATCACTATATTATCACTATAGTCTCTTAACTATGTAATTAATTCTTAATACTTCGGTTATAGAAAAATATACTTGATTTATTGATATGTAAATAGTGCTAATTTTCGTTTAATCATATGCATGCTTATCGTAAGTTATTCTCTATTTTGTTTATCTAATTGGACGATCCAATGTATCAGTGTATATAAAAAGCCTTATTGATGTTTCTATCTCAAGTCACTTTGTTAATAGATCATGTTTAAGTTTATCTTAACGAGTTTATGGAATTAATATGAAGTGAATTATTTTCTCGTCAACCGTGTATAAGGTTTTTTTCAGTTTTATGTATCATCCTTAATCATACTAATTTGTTTATGTTGTATCAAGTTAAGAAACTATTTGTGACATTGGCTAGATGAGTGTTGATGAAAGTTCTGTTTTCATCTAGTGATTGATGTAGCGCAAGCTCACCGTGTATGATCTTACATACTTTGCTTCGAGTTATGCTTCAGTTGTATGAAATTTCGGTTTTACTTCCAAACTGAATAACTACACAGAACTCGTTCTGATGATCTATAAACTGAGAATCCAATAGTGCTGAATGTTGAATATTTTGACTATTAGACAATCGTTCTACTTTTCACTATCACAGAAGAGTATTTAACAGTTATTCTTTAAGAATATTGGTGACTACTGCCCATGTTTATCTATTTACAAGAATTGATCTCTAATGTATTTGGTTTATTTGTTCTTTTTATTGTCTTTTAATGTTTACTTTATTGTATTTTATTTAGTAAGTAGTTTTAAATTCAGTACATTCTATGTAAATTTTAAATTTTATATCCTGTTTCTCATTTTGTTGACATTATTCCTTGTTATTTTCATTTATTTATTGTTTATCACAAGCATTTCTTTCTTTCTTGCCTCTTATCCCCGTCTTTATTCTTTTTTTCTTCGTTATGACATTTGTCTGTCAATCGTCCTCTTTAAAAATACTATAATCTCATTGTATTCCCGTAGTACTGTGTTATCAATATAAACTTTTTTAAGTATCTGTTTAATTAAACTTATCAAAATGCAAAATGTGATGTCATGTTTCATAAAGAAAATCGTTCAAATGTTTTGAACTAGAAATCTTCATAAAGATAATATTATGTATGTTGTAAAAGTTGTTGTTATGAGACAAAACAAAAAACATTTTCTGGATTTTATTTTTAGTTACAAAACATAACAATCGAGAATTCCTGTTCATGTTTAGACCATCCGTTTCTTTTTTTCTCAAACTTCACTGGTTACCATCTGAGTCACACAGGTTTTGATTGATGATACAGCTATGTTCAAAGGTGGCAACCAATTCATCTAAATTTGGTCATATAAACCACCAAGTCACAACTGCAATAACTAGTATAAATTACCACATAAATTCATCAACTATTTATTCTAACTAGGCTTCTAAGGTGAACTTTGATAAATATCACGTAAGATTTCAACCATATTATTTGTCAGTCTTTACAGTCACAATTAGGTAACACATTACTATCATGTTTCCGCTAGAAAATCACAATGATCCATTGGCTTAATTTGTTGTGCTACCTAATAACATTTGAAGTATTTACAATCTGGGACCATATTGTCAATTACCTTATTCTGTACTGCATCTACCTACCATTTAAAAATGTGTTTATGGTTTTGATTTGAAAATTACGGGATTCCCAGTCAGTGGTTCAACGTTAACACATGCATTTCACGAAATCTGGAGATTATAGGTTCTGCTCCTCAACGATTGTCATAATCTCCTATACAAAGAATAGGTACTTTATCAAAATAGTAAATTAATGGAGCTACCGTTGTTCGAAGATAGTTTCCGTACCAGGTCAAATTTAACCAGTGAAATCACTGGAAACCAAAAAGTACTAGACAGTTTTTTGTCCTAGGCACCCTAAGGCTTCTCAATGGTCTACATGCTATCAGAAAGTCGAAAATCGATACAATAGTTCAACCCAACTATTCACATCTATTTTTTGGATTAGGCAAGTATTTCTTCTAAACCGAATTTTTGTTTTTCATTGTATTTTCCTACGCTTAATTTTGTAAAGCATCTTTCTATATTGTTTAATGTTTCATTTCCTTCTTTTGTCGTTTTACAGATTTAGATGTTTTTCAAGACCATTTAATATGAAATCGAAAGTATCTAAACGTAAACCGTGTTCAACACTACTAGATCCAAATAAAACTACACAAAGTGTTAATAATAATAACAATAATGTTGAGGCAACTATAACTGTTCAGCCATCTTCTATATCTGATCATTCTCTGTCAACTTATAGCAGTATGTTTCCGATATCGACTACTGGCATACCTACTACCAGTGTTGCTTTTGTTACAAGTAGTATTAGTAGTAACAGTTGTTGTGTAACAATGAAATCTTCAGTTAACGATAATGTTGTTGATGAAAATCTTAAAATATGTTCATATTCTCCTATGTATTCGTCTGTTCAAATGGACCCACCTACAATGATTACTAATCAATCACGTATCACAGCTACTGCACACACAACATTTATGTCAAATTCTAAAATGAATCAACAAAATATTATCACAACGAATCATGAAAAAATACCAGTAGTTGTGGAACCAATTGAAGTAGCTGCCGGTGAAGCACAAGCAGAATTAAATGAACGTGATAAACAAGTTTTACAGTAAGTAGATCGTTTTGTATGTAAAATAAAAATGAGAATGTGCAACACAAACATTACACATTTACTGTATTCATTCAGTCGTCGTCAACATAGAGTCTAAGACAGATGTAATTTAATACAGGTAAGCTATCGTAACACATTAACAAAACGAGAATATAAAATGAATTACAAATGAGATCGAACTTATTTGGTTGAAATTTTAATGGGAATGATTGAATATTAAGAATATTGTCGAAGATCACTAAATCTCAGCTTCACTAAATTGACTATTAGATAATATAACCAAATGTGAATATAAGTGATATCGTAGGTCAAATGTTTGTTTGTTCCATCAAAGATTGAATAACTATCTACTCGATTGTTAGAGTAATGAATAGACTGATCAAATTACTACTTTCGATAGTCTACCTAAAGCGAATTGGTTTATTAGTAAATGGAAATATTTCTCCATATAATACTTACATTTTAAAATTATGACTTCATTTATCTTTGTCCTCTTTTATATCATTTAATAAAACGTTGCCAAGTATAATTAGTTCTACCAAATTAGATGACATTTTGTACCACTTAACTCGGTTACTACATCCTAATGTTTAAGAAAAATAAAACTTTTTCACTTGGTAAGCTACCATCTAAAGAATACTATTTCAGTAATCGATCAATAGACATTAATAAATATCCAATTAACTAATCTCTTTGCCAACATGTTTTTTCATGCATTTATTAAATAATAAAATAATTGCCTTGTGTATGAACTGACTACTGGTGTCGGCTAATAAATTTGCAACCACTCAAGTTTTTCATTAAGTGATTTGTTTTTTTTTAATACGACTATTATTCACACTTGTTACAAACGTTGATACACATTGTGTGCTTTGAAACTTGTGAACTTGGTTTATACCAAAATTTTGTTTGATTTAGTAGTTTTGTATATGTTCAATTGTGAACAGTTGACCAAATTTTGATGCAGTGAATCATTGGCTGAAGTATCGTCATGACATTTTGAGATATTTTTGTCATTTTAAAAAGTTTAAGATTACTGCCTCTGTCACAATGCTAAGATATGTTTATAATATATGATTAAAGAAGAAATAACTAATGAATTCAATCAATTTAAATTTGTTGATTAAGTCAATGATTGACTATGAATGGATTCACCTGTTTTATTTAAAGAAACATGATAAACTCATTTCTACGTGATAAATATATATCCAAGTTAACGATGTATTAGATTTGTGATACATTAATGGTCTTCAAAATGTAGACGGTCAAATTATTCTGGTCATTTAATAACTAATCAACTTATAAATTAACTTTAATGTAGTTGCATATTAAAGTTTGTTTGAATTTCGAGTTTATATCGACTGTTACTGATACTCCTAAACTATATTCCCAGTCGGTTCTGATAACTCCAACTAATTTGAAACTTCAGTTGGAACAGTAGATTGAAGGCGGGAAATGTAAGTTTTATTTCATGGTTCAGAGAAACAGGAATATTTATGGAGTTACACACGACCTTGGACTTCTGGAAATTTCTGGATCCGTGCTAAATATTATAGTGGTAAAGGTAAATATCTTATCAAGACCGTGGTACATGGATCTTCATTCTTTAGATGTTTCTGCGAAGATCCTATTCTATACTTATTAGATAAAACTTTCCCTGGTGCTTCTGGCAGCTAGAGACCACAAATCTTACTCATTCGGATTTTGAATTTGATTCCAATGATTTCTACTAAGGACTTCAATCATTTTATTTTATATGTTTGTAATTTTTCCAATTTTTGTTGTTATGATTTCGAAATGAACATCAACACTGAAATCCCCAGTTACATCCTAAAATATGTGCATCAAATATGATCAAACACATCCTGAATCTCACTGCTAGATAGTATCCAACGTTAAATTAATCTGCTTAGTTGCGAGTTTTTTAAACTGTTTTGTGGTATTGTCTAATCCAATATAGTGTATTTAGTGATATGTAGTGCAAGATTTTTTAGCATCTATTGAAATATTGAAACTTTGAAACTATTGTATTTTCGAGTAATTTGAATAGCGTTATTTTTCTCAAAGGTTTAATATGTCACAGTTCTATCTGTGACCATATCTATCTGACCCATATAACTAAAACGTGATAATATAAATGTACCGGAATGCCAGTGAATATTTTGGAATACAAAAGTGGCCGGACTTAATTCACTTCCTCTATTTCAGATCAGTGCGAATTTTCTTATCTGTTTATATGGTAGGTTTAGTATGCAAACATCGCATAAAAGAATTGGATTCTTCTTATTCTCTGATATTAATTTTCACTGTTCTTTTTTGTTTGTGTCGTCCAAATATCATCAGTTTTCTTAGTTGTTGCTCAATTCTAAGCTTTTAGCTCTTTAGCAGGATCACTAGATCCTATAACAACCACTGAATTGTCGTCTAATGAACATAATTCTTTTTGCTTGAACATGAGCCGATGTCATCGGTAAGTGACTGTCTGTTTGTAATAGACTACGCGATTCCACTCAATTCATATGGTGTCTAATATTTTTTAACTCCGAAAAATTACACCTTTTCTCTAGATTTTATTGCAGAGTGTTTCGAAAATTTCCTCTGAATTTAATTCTACATAACAATTTCAAATGATTAATTGAAACGTACCACATTTTATCTTCAATTTTCTTTAGTTCATTACTAATGAATAAATCTTCAACGATTGTTTCCTCTGTACCTGTTAATAATTTCTCGTACACCATCGCTAATACTTCAATGATGACAACAACAACGCCCATGAAATCCATTTCAAATGAATTATCTTCATCTCAGTTATCGTCATTCAATAATTTATCATCTGTTGCTATGAATAAATCAAATTCAACATTTCATAAGGAACCGTCAAGCATCAGCCCAATCATAAATACTACGATAACAACATCAGGGACAACAACAACTATCAATCAAGATAATTTGTCAAGACAATATACAAATGAAAGTATCTTTTCATCATCGACAATTCCAACAAATGGTAATCTTGCTACATTTTCACATTCATCATCTTCAATACATACTGAAATGTCAGGACAGAAGAATTTTATCCCATCAGCCAATAATTCTAATGTTACTAATACACACTTTGTGAAATCAAAATTGGATACAACCGTTGTAGAAAAACAGATTTCTGATAACGAAAAGTAATACCGATTTTATAAATTTAAATCTTTTGTGTGATTTTTGTGCATTTCTATTTGTCAGAAGTCAGTAATTCATGAACACCGTAAAACCTGCCACTTATACGTATCCATCGGTTCGAGTTATCACACGATCATCACTACATTGAGATGAAATTATCAAAACAAATGTCGGAATAGTGAAGTAGTACCAATATTAGTGGTAGTATAAAAAATTAGGTATAGACAATATGATTCGAAAAAAAAGAATCCGCTTAACAAAAATGTATGAATTAATTTTAAAACTGGAATTCTTAGTCGTGTCACCCAACATCATTAAACATTAGTTACTACAAGTGTATGTACTCTAGTCAAGTAGTCTGAATATACAAACACGGCTAAATCAAACAGTCGATGACTTTGTGGACTGGTGCTATGTCTTTGTTTGTCTACCCTCAACTTCCTTCAAACTTTCTCTTACACCCGCAAGCATCTTTCCTCGAAACGCTTATATAGTAACGGCATTCTTTTAAAAGTTTGGTCGTATATATATATCTGTAGGACATGAAGCTATAATTCAGCTAAATGTGTTCGGTTATATATAGTGGTTTCTATGATAGAATTGTAATCACTATGTAATGATTACAAGGAATTTTCTTTGACTAGTGAGTTTTTCTCATCTCTAGGACACCAGCTCGTTTGTTGTAAATTTAACAGCATTTCGAAATAATAGTTCGTCTGTTCGTTTGAATTCATTTTAAATTAATTCTTTCCCGAGATTTGTTTTCTCTCAATGGTCATGTAATACATATCTGTTCTACTGTTAACCAATTGTAGTATCGTTTTTAAGTAATACATTTGAAACTATTTTTCATCGTTTTAAGGTACACTTGTTTCGTCTTTTTTCGGAAATATCTAAGTTGAAATGATACAATCCACACATTTATTTTTATGATATGTCAATTCACATAACCATGAATGTGCGATAAAGAAAATAAAATGTACAAGCCAAATGCACTTCAAATTTATCTTTCTATCTCTTCGTAAAACACGCACACAACTAGATCACAATTAGAAAAAACAATTTTATATCCGTTGAATGATTCATTCAATTATATGTGATGAACTGTGTAGACACATATTTTTTCTACGTAAATCCCAATTTTTATAATACATTTGGGTAGGTGTAGTTAAGATGAATAATAACAAGCAATATTTCATGATATTCTCCTCCTTTCAGTACTCAATGTTGTAAATATACTACTATTTCCCCTCGTTTAGCTACATAAAATGGTGAACTTATTAATTAAAGCACTCATTTTTCAATTAAGAGGTCATAGGTTGGAACTCCATTTACTTTGAGTAATATTACTAGAATTCATAGTGGCATGAAATTGAATACATAATTATGCACTTGGTAAATAATTCACTTGCATTTTCACATAAATTCAACTCTTATATACATTGATACACTAACATGTTGCTCAATTGTTTACCTTTAGTTTGTTCGTTTGACATATAATGATTGTCAGATGTATCTGAAATCAATAGAGATGTTATCATAACAGTAATCTATCAACTAAATCCAGTTCATTAAATGATCAGAATTAAACATAACAGTTATTATAAATACAATTTTTCATGAGGACAGTTTAATAAACCTCTTAGAACAATAAATAATCATAGGCAAGTTAATCAGAACAAAATAGTTTTCCATCTCCCATGAGAAAATTACATTAGCTTACTTTTGCTTACAGCTGATGGTAATATTATTGAGTGATAACAATGTAAACGTATTTATTACACACATAATGTAAGTGGATGAACGACAGATATTTTTCGTTTGATATCAGGTATTCACTCTACATTTTCTTGAAGAGCGATTGTTTAGTTAATCATTAATATATATATATAGCTTCAATAGGCATAACCTATCTACGTGTATCAGTTATCTTGTAAACATAGTCTTTCACTTCAGTATTTTCATTATTATATGATAACGAAATCAATCACACGATTTTGCTTCACTTTATTGTCCACGAATAGAAGCTTGAATTCTCCACTCAAGTAGCCAATGATGATTATGCTTGTTTGGTTGGGTTGGATAAGGGCCAACTTATTCCTAAACTGATTGCATGAACAAATTATCACAGTACGCTACAACCACACCGCTAATTTTGTTAGTCGGTTTTTACTTAGCATAGAGCACACCGAACTCGTTTCATCTGAATCCATTATATTGATAAACTTCAAATGTAGTGTTTTTCTTCTTTATAAAACGAGACTTCATTTAAAATAATTTGAGAAACAAACCAATTCTTTGTTTAGGTCAATGTGTATAAGTAAGTTGGTCACTGAATAGATGATGTTGCCGCGTACACACCAAGTTCAATTGTTTTCTTTTTTTAGACAAGAAACAAATACACTACTACTTGAATACACTCATGATAATTTTCTCGTGTGAAATAATAAACAATCATTTGTATTCACAATACTTTGTAACATAAATAGATCGTTATTCACATTCAGTATTTATCTAGGTATAATCCAGTTAATTATATCCTAGTTACTACTATCATTTCTAGCATAATCACTTCAGTTTGTAATCAATAATAATATTGATGATAACAATAATTATTCTACTGAACAATACTAACTAATAATTAATCAGTATTGGTTAATTCATCAAATTAGGTCATGATATTTTGTCACTTACATTGTTATCCATAATTAGAATGACTAAATCGCCTATGATATAACCATTGAAATAGTTAAACTAAGCGCGAAATAACCGCTCTTATAAGCGATATTTGTTTGCTGCTGTAAATGCTACTAAACGTTTTTATAAATAATTCAACTTTTGTTTACCATAAGCAAATTTATGTGTTTGGCTCTGATCGATGCTTTTTTATACGATCTGTTGTTACTATCGTGGTTCATAAATTATTGTCACCGTGGAATGGATGGTTTCAACGTGCTACCTTGTGAATTTATGTTGACTGCCTGATCTATTAAGTCACATCTTAAATGAAGCTAATATGTGTCTGTGTGTTTGTATCAAAATTATTCTATATTGCTTAAGTTAAAACTAAAATTTTGTAAAATTGTCGGTGCATAATGATACTTAATTATATATTTTTAATATTGTCTTATTTGGTAACCAAGACAAATTTTTTCAATCGAATTTATGCTGTTTGTTTGATAGTTTTGACAACCTCAATTATGAAGGTTTACTTCATTATAACCGAGATTCAATCAATCAAATCGGTCGAGAACATCTGAAAAGATAACACTTTTTTGTCTCATTTTCAATCGGTTCACACGATCAATAATCAAAAAAGATGACACTCTAAATGGGAATATTTTCTTTAGATTTATTATGGTTAGACTTTAGTTAATTTGTTTTTTATATTTATTATAGTTTTTCCACTTTTAGCCACCCATCTATCTGTTCTATATTGATGTATGTGCATTATGTCATAATATCGGAAATTTTTGATTACTAAAGATTATTGAAAAAAGCAATAAGTATAAAGGAACTATGAGAGATGTTCATATTGGTTTATTTGTTATTAACATTGATTTTGGGAAATCAATGTCAAGTTATATATTAATAGTGAGGTGTATTGATTATAAGATCAATTTTTCCCCTTATTTATTTATAGTCTGAATCTTCAGGCTACTTCAGAGCATGTTAGTTGTGTCACTGGACCATCTATAAAATATGTTGCAGCAAATTCTGCCAATGTGGTTTCTGCTAAGAACAATGTTGCTTCATCAGTCGATATCAATAATAATAATTATAACATCCCAGATTGCCAAAATGTCGTCAATTCATATGACGATCATAATGTCGAGTCTACAGTTAGTCACGCCACCAGTTTATACGCTCCACAACCATATACAACGGTTAAATCCGATATAAATAATAATATTTCAAATGATATAAAACCAACTTTAAACGGTTTCAAACCTGTAATGGAAGATGATTCTCTCAAAATTACCAATACTACTTCTATATCTTCACCTTCAACTACATCAACTTCAGATTCATTCCAATCGCGTATTAAACCACCTTCGTTTACCGTAAAAACATCAGATTTAAGCAAAATAAGCACTACAAAAGTAACTTCTACTACCGTCAAAGTTGATGAATGTTTCAATTCCAACCATGTAACACAGAATAATAATAACACAATGTCCAATTCATTTCATACGCCAGAAAGTATAAAAAATCATAATAAAACAGATTCTCCCGAAGTAAGTTCACTTTTTCTATGCCGAAAAACTGTTCCAATCAATTAATGCCCAACTGTCAAATACATTATATCGTGATATCCTGTTTGAACTTCAATTATAAGGACATTTTAAAATGAATAACAACATGACAGCGTGTATTTTCCCCCCTCATAAAGTCTGATCAATTACAATCATTAACGTCATAAAGAAGAAAATACAAACCTTTAGAAATAAACTTTCTACCCGTCCCGCAAGCTAGTGGATATTACGACTCAGTAGTTCAGGAGATAACGCGTTGAAGCGAATAATCATTTGGTCAGTTTTCACTATCAATCAATGATTACATTGAAATAAAGCTGTAAACAGTAGTTAATATATGTATAATTACAATTCCTGCATTTGTATTTGGATAAAGTTTGTTAATTAAGCTGATGAATTTATTTCAAAGAGATATTTAGAATTAAAATTCAAAATGACTTGTAAACTTTTTGTTCAGTTATGTTATTTACTTCAAGTCTTGAAATCATGTTTACAGTGACTTATTAGATACAGCAATCTACTTAAAATAGAAAATGATTACACCATATAAATTATTTAAAAATATCAAGTATCACAAGTGAGCTGTGTAGCAATCTATAGGTAATGAAACTAGAATTTATGGAAGACCTTTTGTCGATACTTAATTGACCTTGAGAAGCTTCAGTCATTTATCAAGTTGAAAATAGGAATATAAATTTACGTCAGCAATTAAGACTAAGAGTTAGCATTATAAGTTATTGTTAGGAATTAGAGTTAGTGTTTTCATCGCGAACTGCTAAAACATTGATTAACCATATAGAGACTGAATTTCGCAAAGTCCAAGTTTCGTAGCTTGAATCCAATTAGTCCACCCACAGATTATAGTCTTACCGATTCATAGTACAATGAAATATCTCACATGCTGCTTTTACACACAGAGTTCAAACTAAAACCATTGGATTACTACGTTCCCTGTATTCCACAAAATTTCTATTAATGTATTATTTTTAAAATATCCAATAATCAAAAACTGTGTGGAAGGTGACATTATAAAGTTTAATAAATTGAAATATTTTTCTCAAAGATTTTGCGATTTATTCTTTCTGGTTTACATTATCATCGAAAAGAAAATTTTCTTCGTTAAATCATCTTTAGTTCTTCAATGGTATGATGGGTTTCCTTCAATATTGTAAACTTATTAATTGTAGTTGTAAACCAACAAGATTGGTACCCAGCAGTTTGCATGAAAATCTGAGACATAAATATCTCAACTTTCGCTTTAGGTAAAAACACATTTCCTCTTTATCTCACATTAAGCTGATTAAATTTCTCCATAAAAATCAACCATACAACTCTGTTGTGTTTATAACTTTGTAAAGACTTGTAACAACTGTACGTGTACATTTGTGAAAACGATGAATTATATTCTGAATTTTTTCATAATTTTAGGTGATAGGTTAGATAGCAATTTATATACTGTTTCTCTGTTAATCATATTATTCCTTTTTTTGTAGAAGAACAATGTACCGAATACACCATCCATCGTATGCTCCGCGTCAGTTAGTGTAACTGGAATTCGTCCACCGAGTGGTATTAAAGCTCCATCTATTACTCCAGATAAAATGAAGTCTAGAATTACTACTAACGGACATACCAATGCCAGTGCCACCGACACATCAGTTATGTCTACACATGATGATATGACATATAACAAAAAACAAATTCCTACAAGCGTTGAACCAACCTGCGAATTGATAAAAAGACAAGAATCAATTACAGAGGATAGTTTAGAACATCCTAGTAGTTTACCTAGACCTCTAGGAATTTCACCTTCTTCATTTCACGGTAAAGCTCAATCTAAACTTCGACCTTTATCAGGAAATTCACCAATCGCCAATTCTGGTATACCTGCACCGTCTATAATGCCACCTGTTAGCGGGCAATCTCATATGCCTGTACCGATGAATAATACTTCTATTCCTTTGCCTAGTGGAATAAAACCACCATCTCGTTCACCAAAGTCTGCATTAGCTAAGGTAAGGTTTTTCTTCGTATCTGAACGCTTGCTTCATAGTATCCCATGTTTTTTTGTCAGTCGTTTTCTTTCAAAAGCTGTAACCTATTGGCTATTACACTTCCAACCATACTATGACATTAGTAACCGACCATTAAAGACTTCTGAAAATAAATAAGGTACTCAATGTGAGAAGTGTTTGTGGAGATTGTTACGTCTCAGAGTTTACATTGTAAAATGACCTTGATTGAGAACCAGTGAGCACTAGACATTTGTTTCGTTCTAATATGGGCTTCTCAACAGCACACATCAACAACTCCTGTGGAGATCGAACCCAAGATTTTCGCGTTAGCGCTTGACCCTTAGACAGCTGGGTTGACATTCAGCAGTATGCAAGTTTAACATCATTTCGTCTTGTTGCTCAGTCATCATCTAACGTCATTGTTGAGTAGCTTCCTCACACCCGTTATAGATGAACTCGATTGATCATGGTTTCTCACTAGAACTTCGGCAATTACTTCTCAAAATTAAACACCAGTGAGTATAATATTGTTTTTAACAGTTGAATTCATGAGTCCATCATTGAGAACCTGGAAGCACTGGACGGCCGTTCCGTATTCCTCAATATTGCTCATTCACGATACCATACTAAAACGAAACGACCGCCCAGTGCTTCCAGGTTCTCAATGGTGGTCTAGCTTAGATTGACTCATAAATCCAACTGTTAAAAATACTACAATCTCCACAAATCCTCACCCTAATAATATATTATTTCTGACGTAAGGGGTTTGTGGACATTGTTTTTTGTCATAGCATTGAATGAATATCTTTGGTCTGACCTTCGGTGGTATCACAGAATCACATTGCTGAAGATTCCCTCACGAGATTACAACAGTTGTCTAACCAAGGTTAGTTCGTTATATAAAATATAAAATGTTTGAAAATTTATTTTTTTCAACAATGAACTTTTTCTATGTTTTTTTGCTCACCCATATTTCAGTGATAACAATATTTAATTATTATTATCTGACATGTAACATTCAATGGTCCAGAAAAGAATCAAATAATAGAAAGTCTTCTAAACAAAATTGGTTACAAGATACATTTCAATTTGTTTTGTTCTTCCTTTTATTTAATTATCATTCTTCTCTCTGAACAACTCTCTTTAAGCAAAATTATTGTATTATTTATTTATTCCCTAATTGTTCTGATCTTTTTTTAGTCCTTCCCTTTTTAATAATGATAATATTTGTCAAATGATTTTTCTAATGGTATACACATTGTGTTTTTTTTTTCGTTTCTTTAACTGTTTATTGTCCCTCCCCCTTTTTTCCTTTAACTTGATCATTTCATTGAAGACAAATATTGAAGTTTAAATCAGTATCCTCTTACAGATATTTAATATGCACTAAAGGAAATTATTTTCAGTCAAAATGGTAGACTATTTATACATTAATATAAGATAGAGAGAATGGCTTCCTAGTTGAGCAATGAAGTTATTTCATATCGTGTCTATGAGAAATTATTTTACAAAATATAACCACTATAATAGTACTACTGCACATTTCGAGTATTTCTCAGAATTAAAACATTGATTTAACCTTTTTTTCAGTTCACTTTCTCTTGTGGACGAGAATATTTTCATTAAACCTTATTACTTATTCGTATATACAGATTTCTAAGTGTTTACTTTTTTGTTTGTGCGGTGCATGTGCTTTCTTTCATTATGCAGCGGTTGTATAGACATTTTTTGATTTTGAAATGACATTAATCTTATCTAAAGATGTGTGTGTGTTCTGGATTGCTTTTTTTACACGAAAAATTCAGATAAACTATTGATCACTAGACGAACTTTTTTTTCTTTCCTGTTCTTACTAATCAAGTTCTACTACTTCTATTCTGAAACATTTAAAATAATTTTATGCCTTCGAATCCTAATACCTATTTTAGATGTTTACATTTTAATTTTAAAAGCAAATAAAATTGATCAGTATTCTTTTGTTTTTGTTTCACACTAAAAAAATCGAAAACATTTTCGACGGTACCATTTTTTATTCGTCGTCGAAATCCGTTGCAAGTTGCTTTTTTTCTTGCAGCTTCCTTTGTCAGTGTCATGTGAGCGCTACTGACCACACTTCAATTTCGAACTGTGTTCCCTTTTTTCCTTACAACAGCGATTGTGTTCTTTTCTGTTTCTTTAAATGAGCTTATGGGGATTCGATTTACAAACAGATTTAACAAAACAATAGGATGATTTTGTTCGCATTCTATCAATAATTCATTTTCTGTTTAAAACGGTATTATTGATTGAAATTTTTTTAGCTCATATAAGTCCACAAATTGTGCACTTTGAATAAAACATGTATTCATTGAAGTTGGTTTATTGTCCAAATATATCAAATATGTGAATTAAATGATAATACATCAAATATGTTTTTATTTAGCCATAATTTTTGAAAAAATTCCGTAATTAATTAACTCTGTGCCCATTACAAATGAAAGGTTAGCTACAAAAACTACAGAACTACGAATAATACGTTCGAATGTCTGGTGCTGATTAACTGAAAAATGTAGCCTGTTTGATTGATTATTAATAGTTGATATATATGTATCTATGTCGTTTAACTCTGCGAATATCTGAAGCTTCACTCTTACAAAGCTATCCACGTGTTCAGCTATAATGTAACCTCTCATGGAAACTTGTTTTTTGACAAAAATATATGCCTGTGACCTAATGGTGATATCGAGGTAATTCACACTGGATGCATATATGCTAAAAGAGACTAAATTCCTGTCCTAAACATCAAAAGGAGAATTCAAACAATCAGCACAAATGAATTAAACTTCACCCGATTGAACAAGCTAGTGGCTATCTGAACTGATAAGCTAAGTCGATAACATAACGGAGTTTAAGACGAACGTCACCGAGTTTGGGTTCCGGTGTGAACAAAAACTCTGAGATCCAGGTATACCCAGCTGATGAATCCAAAATAGGGCAAAACATGCATCTAAGCTTCCACTGCTGGCGATCATCTAAATCCGCTTATAAATGTGTGTGTAGTTGCTAAGGATTTTGCATCTTTGTTAATCTAATACAATTGAATACTAAGATAAATGTCCAGTGGATTAAACTAAAGATGGAAAGTCCGAAGGTCCTCTAATCCTTTTCTATAACCTGTTATTTAGTGAAATAACGTTTTCTGTATTTTAAAAAATTTTTTACTATATTTCTCGAATCTCGCGAGACGGAATCGTGGGTGTGCACAGCTGAGGAGTCTCACAGTAGGACGAAACGGCCTTCCAATGCTTGCAGGTTTTTCAGGGTGATCTAACTTCAATTGACTCATGATCTCAACTATTAAAATGAGTATAATAGCCACAAAATCCCTTCTGATATAATTATTGATAATTTTTGTGAATCAACACTTTTAACCATAATGAATGCAATTCTTGAATATGCTGATCGCATTTCTACTTTTAAAAAAATCTTATCACTATTGATGAAGAGATGTCTGATGAAATAACAACAGAAACACAAACAACAACCTTGCATGACCAACTTGTGTTATGAGCACTCAAATGTAGCAATCTTAGTTTACTACTGTAATATTTGCCAAAGGAAGGTGTGAAATTTAACAAATTATTTATTTTCTTAACAAGATAACAAAGTCTTTGTTACATTTATCACTTTATAGTCCATAAAAATGAGAATTATTCCCTAAACTTAAGCACAAAAGCTCAGTTTAACCCTTATTTAATGATACCTCGTAATCGCAATAAATGATTACTAACATGTTGTTAGTAGATCTTTATCGATTATTGTGAAAAAAGTCATGTGAATTATATATTAGAGGGTAGAAACCGTCTATAGTAATGAATTATAACATAGGTTGATCAGCAAATAAATTCAATGATCTGTTCTAACACTTAGTTAAGAATATTTTTAAAAGTTCATAAACGCCTTATATCTTTAAAAATAATGATTGTTTGAGATCATCTTAAATTTCTGGAATCAAATATACATTTTCGCATTATATATTATATGGTTACAATTTAGTAATGAAAGAAAGGAATACTACAATGAACCAGTGTACACTTCAAATTCTGCACACCTTTTTTTTCAGCGTTACCTGGATAAACATATAATAACAGAGTGAGAGTTTTCATGTGTTACGAACAACATTAGAACCAACATATGAAAATCATAATAAAATCACCTTTGATATAAATTTCCTTAAAATCCTAATTAGATTGTGTGACATCAACCAACTCAAAGCGCAACAGTAACTTAATGATAACAACAAATGAATACCGTAATTGTGAGTGAAACAGATTATGAACTACTGAATTTAAATTTAAGGACTTAAAAAAGCTATAATCATCATAAACTTGAAAGTATTGGATTCTATCTCTTATTATTACAATTCTAGGGATTTTGAATTGGAAGTAAACCATTATTAGTTCTTTTGGATAAAATTACTTATGACTTGTACAGAATCTTCATTAAACGGTGTGGTAAATAGTGAATAGATAAAACTTTTTAATTTCATACTAACATAACTATTAGTTTTTCAGTTTATATAAATCTGGATAAGTATGTACAGTATTTAGGGTTAAATGATCATTATTACAGTTGTATTTCTGGATTCTGAAAGTGTAATTGAATATTGTTTGTTTAAATGATATCAAATAACTGGATCATTTAAAACTAGAATAATTGACTATATATTATCGATCTGTAAACAATTTGAAAAAAATGAGCGGACAATTGATTTATGATATTTATTAAAGTGACATTATCATTATTAAATCTGTCGAAGTTTTTCCAATGTTTATGTTAAGGTTGTTCTAGGTACTTTTATAACCAGGTCTACTAAGAAACATATATACTATTCAATTACTAGGTTGGAGAAAATATCTTGACAACATCGGATATACACATTTTTCCTTGTAAGAAAAATTGACTTGGATACAGAAATACAAAACGTGAATACAAAATTGTATTGCCCAGTTTGTGAGTCTGAATTAGAAAGTGATGTTTATTTTCACTCTAGTTTCAAACTAAAATGTGCTCACATTTAATAATATATGCAACCATTTTCAATATCAAATAACCTAATGAAGGAACAATTCAATAACGGCAATAGGTGAACATTGCATTGTATCAACAATTCGTAGAAGTTAGAAACATTTTTCGTTGATTACAGGCATCCATTTAGATTTCTGCACAATTAAATCTCTCTTTTTTAATATCAGTTAGAATTTGTGTATTTAGTATTTACCAGTATCCTTCAACCCTTTAAGTAACACAAGTAAACAACATGACTGATCTCTATCTTTCCTCCTCTCTCTCTTGTGTTTATAATTCATTCTAATCATCTGAATGCTTTTGGTTATTTACCAAGCATCTTCAATGCTAAAAACCTATTATATTGATTACTAATAAAAGAACCTTACATTCATCTTATACTTCAAACTACTACCTTTAATGTAAATTCATTTCTCAAATTATTATTAGTTTTGTCACCAGTAATATGATTGTCACTTGTGATTTATACAGAATCATCATTTCTGCCAAATTATTTTTCAGTTATGTTATTTTCACCGAAATTCCATGTTAATGTGGATTGCTATTATATTTTTTTGACGTAGTTGTCACTTTTTCTCAATAAAGCTTTTAGTTTCAGCTAATTTCACCCCCCACTCTCTATCTGTCACTTTTGAGGATCATTGTTTCACCACATGCTGTGACCACAAAAAAGGGCCTTCGTTTGTTAAATGTCAACTACGTCTCTACAGGTTAATTTTATGTATAACTC